CGCGTGCATAATAATAGCAATAAACCATAATAATAAACCTGTTAATACAATGTTATACAATAAATTAATATTATTACTATTACTTACCATGTAATAAGCCATAAACAAATTAAAAAAAAAATAAAGAATTAATTAATTCATTCATAATAAAAATACATATGTATAAATATAAATATATATTATAACTACTTCACCACCATTAATAAATTAGCCAATTAAAGTGACAAAAAATCATTTAAATCAATTCTTTATCTTCAAGTTAACTTCTACTTATCAACCAATCACAATCTACATTCTAAATTATTTTAATAATTTCTGGAGTTTGCAGTTATAACTTGATCAACAATAGCCTTCAATTTTGGTGGTTGATTTTCTGATCTTTGTCTTGAATGTAAAATACCATTTATATTATTATTATTATATTCCATCTCATTTAAAATAGTTAGCCAAGAAGATCCACCCTCTTTACGTAACTCTTCAATCTTCTTTCTATACTCTATTGCTTCACCGATTGTAGGTGATGAAATGGTTTCTGAATCACTATGTGGTGATGATAATGGTGATGTTGGTGTTTTTTTTGTTGATGAAAAATCTGGCGTGGTATTTTGACGTTTATTCACTGATCTTCTTTTATGTGATTTGGAGTTATCAGCTGCTATTGCCTTTTCAATTTCAACAGCTCGATGTTTTGGTAATGGTACTTTAGCTTTTGCTGTAATCTCCTCGGAGGTTTTTTTCTTTTTCTTATTTTTGTTTGATTTTGTTCTACTTAAGATAGGCGAATCAAACAAAACTTCTGCAACCTCACTATTATCACTATTCTTATTTTGGTTATCTCCATCCAAGTCAACAACTCTTTTATGAAATTTCTGACTTTTTTTATGTCTTATAACTGGCAAATTATTATTGCGTTGCTGATGTTGTTCATCATTTGAACTATTGGGACTGGACAGAGGATTTTCATTGCTTAGAATGGCAAAAGGGAATTTTTGATTTGATGGTGAATTTGCATTTGATGGGAGAGATCTTCTTTCAATATAAGTAGGTGCTGTTCCATCCAAAATAATATCTTTATTGTTTTCTTTAAATGCTTTAAAAATATTAATCCTATAATTAGACTCATATATCTTACAAAATGTACACATATAGATCTATCGAACAATCTGCTGATTGAAATTCCGTCCGGATTATCACAATTGTACAATTTACAATGTTTGAATCTTAGTAATAACATGATTGAAACAATAACTGGTATTTACAAAATACTTGGTAATGTAACAAAATTGGATTTAAGATCTAATCGAATAGAGAATTTATGTGGTTTGGAAAGGTTATATTCATTGGAGTATGTTAATATTAGAGAAAATCAATTGATTGATTGGGCTGAAGTTACTCGAATGACTGAACTGCCTGAGATAAGACAAATTTGCGTTGATGGTAATCCATTCACGGAATATGAGACTAATTATAGGATTAATATTTTTA